AAATATTTTTCTCTCAGTGTACGCGCGTGAAATCATAAGGAGTCGTGATTGTTATTAATTAAGAAATTAATAAAGGACGGTTCCTCTCGAAGGTGCGCGAACACCTCTAACGAAATCGCTCGAGGCTAGGGTCTCTTTCTATCAGCGGGACAAATGTGAGCAGCGTGTCTAACGCGAATTAACTACGTTCATCTGTTTAGGACTCTTCTCTCTTCAGCCTTGCTGTCTCGGAGAAAGTAAACGAGTTTCGAGAGTTCGGAGAGATTCTATATTTTCTTTCGACCCGAATAATCTTCCTAGCAATCCCTAAAGCCCGTTCGCGCCGCGTGATTTTTCAGCAACGTCTTGTGAGAGCGCGGTTTCCATTTAAAATTCTAATCTACGTACAAATCTCCGGAGAAAATCGACAATAATATTGTCGTTCTACGTTCTGTGTGAAAGAAAGAATAAAAAAAGATTTAGAAAATAAAAAAAGATTTATTTGATGCGGGTATTAACACAACATATTTATATAAATCTAAAAATTCTTTTACTTAGATAAAATAAATAAATGCTTTCATGAAAAGTTAAGGCTTTAAAAAAAGTGTATATTTTCTTATTTGAAAAATTTTATACATATAGACAAAAGTAAATATATATTTTATTAGTTGCTATCCCGTATAAGTAATTTTTATTTCTTAAATATCTGTTTACTTAGTGTATATGCAGTCGCGAATAAAAGATTTCGATAAATTGTATTTAGTGATTTTGAACTAACTTGGTTCTTTTTTCCTATCGTTCATGCATGCGATATAATTTACATATTTGGAATTCATATTGCAACGAGACACACACGTCGTGATTACATATATCGTGCCAGAAGTCGCAAAAGGCAAACATAATTTTGCACGCTTCAGTCACACGACATCCGCACACAGTTACCGCGTTACTCGAAACAGTTAAGGGATCAGACTGCATAGTTCTGTTAATTGTAACTTAGTCTGGTAACTTTTGCTCTTAGCAGCTGCAACTGTTCCAAATACTGACTATAAACTGTCATTTCCAACAAATAAAAACACACTACTCGTCCAAGGACGACGGCGAAAAGGGAGAGAAATCGAAGTGTACTGTTAACCTAGATTTCGGCGAAAAATGAACAAGATAGCTTTTACTAACTGACACTTCGTATAGAAATGTCTCTTCCTCATGAGCCTCGATACTCGCGACTTGAAATCTGGAGCAGCGTTCCGTTCATCGGAAAATTGATTAGGTCGAACAGTCGCCGAGACGACGTGGTAGCGAACGTTTCGGAAACGTAGCGATTGCAGAAACGGTGGCGAGGTCTCTCTCTCTCTCTCTCTCTCTCTCTCTCTCTCTCTCTCTCTCTCTCTCTCT